GACGTCGACGTCGAAGCAGTGGCGTCCCCCGCAACAAAAAACCTAATTAACTTACAAATTTTTTTATTTGTTAATTAATTATAATTATTAAAAGTAACCCATCTTACAAATAATGTTAATCAAGAACGATCCAACTTACGAATAACATTCTATAAAGAAAGATCTAACTTAAACATAATATTCTATTTATAAAGACCCAACTCACAAATCATTCATATAAGAATGACTCACAAAGTATTAAAAAGATGACTCCAAATCATTTCTAGTAGTCTTCAAAGTAATAGATTATTTTATCAATAAAAGAAATTGGACAGTCTTCGAGAGATAAGTAAGTATATAGAAATAATTTGAATACGACTTTGCATAAATTTACTATAAATATATTATAGATATAAGTTAGGTCATCCACAATAATAGTTTCTTAATATTTACAAATAATAAAAATAATTATTAGTTATTCTGAAAAAACAATTTGTATATCAGGTCATTAATTCTTAATAAAAATAATTTGTGAGCTGAGTCTTTCTATGTGAAATATTATTTGTAAGTTGGATTATTTGAATAAACATAATTTGTAACTTGAGTTATTTTTAATTTATATATTATATTATTCACAAGTTTGATAAACTGCTCGATCCCATATGGCCCTTATATATCATCTGTTCGAAGTTTGCGGAACTGTGTTTATAACCAAAAGATATACTATAATTGAAAGTTTTTTTTTTTTTGAGAACACAAATCTTCCAATAGGCAAACAAATTTCCTTATTAATACTAAAACAAGAACAAATATAGGCAAACAAAATAAGTATTTATTCAATATTTTATTTCCAATTTTACAATGTCACACTTGCAAGCACACAAAAAAAAAAAAAAAAAAAAAAGAGAAAAAGTGGGTTTTGCCCTAAGAGATAGGAACATAAAAGCCACTGTCTTATTTGCAAAACAAAACACAAACAAAAGGGAAAAGAAGACTTAGTCATATATGACTTAAATCAGTCTTGCTGGTACTTTGGGCTGTGCCATCGTCTGAGTTGGCCTTTCATCTCCGCTCATGCTTCTTCTTCATCTTTAGGTGGAGGTGGCTCAAATCCTTCAAGTGTAAGACCTCCTTTTTCTTTCAATGTTGCAGTTACACAAGTAAATTTTTTTATATCTCCATTAGACTGATGTAACCCTAAAACCTTACCATTAGCATGTATCTCGATTGAATTTACAAACATCTTTATATCAATGAGAATTGAATCCGTAAATACAACAATTTCAGAATCTTCAACACCAGACTTCTTGCCAAGATGATCATTAAGATACATTTTGGTGAAATCGTACTTCAGCAGATACTCTTTAGCATCCTCTGGATCCTCTATAAGAATCCTTGAATATATATCAGATTCAGTAGTGATATAATCATTTATATCTTTGGTTTCTCCAAAAGGAACTTCCCACCCATCACCACCACGCGTCGTGTATATGTGTGCAAGCTTCTTAGAATCATTATAAGCCTGTTTTATATATGGAGGCTCTTGTGCAGACTTAGAGACACTATCAACCTGTTTTGTAAGTGCAGGATCCATATTATAGTATTATAAGAGAAATATTTTCAGATATATATTTTGATGTGAGAAGTAATGAAGGAAGCCTTCTTCTTATATAGACTTCTCATTGTGATCTCAACGGCTAAGATCTTTGAACACTCTTTCTAATCCAACGGATGCAAATCTTGGAACAACTAAACGGCTAATTAAGTCTAACAATTTAGTTATTCATTACAATAGAATTAATATTTAATTTTTTTTGTTAATTATATTTGATAACAATGACCCAACTTACAAGTTATGTTTAATAAGAACAATCCAACTTACATAATATATTATTTACTAGATTCGGACCCGCGCTACAGCGCGGGGGAAAATTACCGGGTTTTTAATCTTTTGTACGTAGCGGGATAATTTATTTGTGTTTGCTTTACTTTATTTTGATTATTAATTAAATTCTATCATTTTTATATTGTATTTTTTGTGTTGGTTTCGAATATGTTTAAAATTATTTAAATTGTATGATTTTAGTTGGATTGTTAATTTTATAACAATATGTGACATATATACATGTATAAATATTATACTATGAATCATTTTTAAAGTTTGGGGATTGACCCGCGGTACACCGCATAATCATAAATACATGATTTTAACTTGGACCTTTCATGCAGTTTTGTAGAATTGCAAATATCTAGAATAAACAAATAAAGAGCCAATGATTTCTTATTTCTTATCGTGTTAAAATGTAAAATATGTGTTTATGTTACAATTTTCTGGTAGCAGAAACTTATTTATA